TAGTTTAGAAATCTTTAATGTAATTGTTTTATTACTTAATAAAGTTTCTACTTTGGCATAACAAAAAAAAAAAAAAATAAAAAAAAAAAAAAATAAAATAGGTAAGTAATATATTATATATATACTGTATTATTAATTAAATAATTAAATTATTAATTATCTTAATAGTTAATAAAAAAAGATAAAAGTGATTTAAACAACCAATAATAGATTTTTACACTAAAAGTGTATATACAGCTGTTGCAAGATTACAAAATTCTGATATTGTATCTTCAACCAATAATAATTTGTATCTAATGCAAAGTGAAACATATATAGATCATCTTCTTAATAAACACTAAAATTGCTAGTCAGGAATTTGCTAGAAAGTTCAAAATTCAGAAATTCAATTAGTTAATTCAAATTTAATTGGATATATTCAAAATCAAGTAAATAATCTTAACAAATTTTTTTAAAAAAATACTAAACTTTTCTCAAAACAAAGTCTTATAACTATAATACAAACTAGTATGAACAAATCATTTAATTATATTAAACTAAATTATGTTAATAAAAAAGTAGAGTTTAGCAAATCTTTTTCAGCATAACATGCATTTGCAATTTTGCATAATAATAATAGTCTTTTAGAAATGTTAAATATTATTAGAAGGTATGAGTCCTATAGCTTAATTGTTAAGCTCCCATACCCCCACAGTCAAGGTCAACAGTTCAAGTCTAGCTGGAGGCAAAATCAAAAAGATTTTAGTCTCTGTAACCTATAAGGAGTCTGTAATTAAATACCAAGTCCTGTGGTTAAGTCCTAGTGCAGTACATGATAGAAAAAAGAAATTCCTAAAAGGAGACCGACTTTACAGAGTGCAGGTACTATAGGTGACAGCGATGTTACAGAAGGTTCTGTTATATGAAATATTGTGCATATAAGTCCTTTGGAGATAGGGCAGTACCAACATCTTCATATCCAACTTGGGAAGTAATTAATTGGAAGGGTGATACCAAGGTAACATACACTGAAGTAGTAAGAGAAATGATATATGCATAGAAGATCTGTAACAAAGGATTAGCCTTATCAAGATTGAAAACACCTCTGATGCTGTGGAATAACTGAAAATAGAAGGTAGCTGTATATATAGAGAAGTTATAGCCTGTCCTGTATGTCTAAAGATACCAAACCAGAGCTCTGAGCATACCTATATAAAAGCCTATAGTAAAACAAGTAGAACATACCAACATAAATGCTGTACCAATCAAAGTTAAAATACTTAAATTAGAAGTGACCTTTGTGAACAAGCATAGGTCATCTGTTAAAATGTAGATTTATATAGATATCTGTATAGGTCAGTGCACACAGAGGAATGCAAACTGGCTTTTGGTAGTACAAATATAAAATAAGTCTTTATGTATTTAAGTAGAAAGGAAACATCAGCCAATGGCTAGAAGAAAATAGAAGTACTATTTCTGAAACATAGTTCTATTATATTATAAAAGAGAGTACTTAAAGGGCAAGTTAAATGCACAATCCATTTGAACAATGCTAAGACTAAGAAGGGTTGCAAACCAGCAGTAATAGCAAGAACCTGGCTTAAGATACATGCTACCAGTATCTAAATTGAGAAAATAGCAGTGGCAGCAAGAATCTGGCTTGAGATACATGCTAGAGAGGCACCTTTTAGACAAACTAAAGATGGAAGACAAAGGGAGCAAATGATTTGATAGACCAATTTGGAAGTTGTAAAAAATAGGTTATGAGATATGGGATGAATATGCAGATTACCTAATATAATCAGTAATGAAACAAAAATCCAGGTTAGGTGTAAGTAAGATACAATACAAAGCTCTGGTAGGTTTAGGTCACAGATAAAGATATCTGAATCCTATGTTTAAATAAATATATAGTGATAGATAATATATGATAAAAATTGTACTAGCTATAATCAATATACTAATAAAGACTTGAGGGCATAACCTTACCTTAAAAAAAATAAAATAAAATATTATTAGACAAGTAGGAAACTTTATAGAATTTTCTAAACAAGATTAAATTAATATTAGAAAAATATAGAAACAATGAGAAAATAAATGTAAATATAATATTGCAAAAATTAATGAAAGAAATATAGCATGTGCTAAAAAAATTGCTAAAACATAAAAACAAATAGAAAAATTTGACTTTTTAAAGATATAATTATAAATATATAATTGGTTAAAAAATATCTATAAGATATAAATTAAATTTAAATTTATAAAATTTAGTATCTTACAGAATTATAATTAAAGATAGTATAATTAATTAAGAATTCCAACCTTCATTTGCTAACTTAATTTCCAATTTTGATGGTTATATACTTTGTGAAAAATGCAGTTGTTTTCCAAAGTAATTACCAAAAGGTAAATTATATAATTTATATTATTTTTATAATAAGTATGGATTATCTGATTATATTATAAATAAAAAATTTCATAATAAAGAGCCAAAAAAAATTTCTGCTGAATTAATTAATTCTATAATAAGTGATTTTTTTAAACTAAATAACTATTGAAAATTGCAACAAAAAAGCATTAAATCTTTTTTAAAAGAACAAAATAGTTTAACAATCTTACCAACAGGTACTGGAAAAACACTTATTTTTTTAGTATTTAGTATATTATCAAAATCTTTAACTGTTGTATTTACACCTTTAAAAGCAATAATAAAAAATCAATTAGTAAGTAAATTTTTTATTTTAAAAATTATAAACAAAAATTAATTATATATCTAACATTATACATAATATAAAACTATAAGCATAAATTGATAAAAATAGGAATTTCTGCTACTGCAATATTTGCTATTTCAAATCAGCCTTTGGATGTACAAGAAAAAATTTTTAGTAAAGTTGCAGCAGATATAACTGAAGTCTTATGAACAACATCTGAAAAATTTATTGAAAGTTTAAAATTTCACTGATTTTTGCATAATATTTCTCAAACCTGTAGTATACAATTTGTCATAAATGAATCATATTGTATTTTAGAATTTGGATATTTTAGATTAGTATATATTAAATTTAAAAAAATATAATTAAATAAATATAATAAAATATATCTAACAAATTTATAGATCTGTGTAGTCAAAATTAGAACAAATAAAAGAAAAGTTTCTAGCAGCTTCACTTTTATTGCTAACTGTAACTTGTTCTTATTAAAATGCATCAAAACTTACAACAATTTTGAACATAATGAATCTAAAAGTAATTAGAACTTTATTAGAATATAAATCTTTTTTTATGTTTTGAATCCAATCTAAACTATCAAAAAAAAAATATTATTAAAATAGTATATAAAAATCTAATACTAAATCCTAAAAGCCAAGCAATAATATATTCATCAACTCCAAATGAATGTATAGAAATTTTTATCATCCTTAAAGAGTATATAGAACCTTATCAACTTGGTATATATCACAAGAAAATGCATAATATAGATCAAAAAAAACTTTGCATTTATGAAATAACCAAAATTAAAATATATGATTGCTACAAACCCTTTTGGCATGAGAGTTCATGCACCTCATGTTTGAATTGTTATTCATACTATCTTTCTATTATCACCAACAAATTTTGTATAAGAGATAGAATAGGCTAGCAAAGATAGTCAATCAGCTAAAAGTTTAGTACTAGATTTATATGCAAATATTTATGAACTACTGATAATTGTTAGCAGAAAAATAGAAAGAAAAGTACAAATAGTAAAAGAAAAAATTGAGAATAATATGAATTTGAACTAATTAAACTTATGAATTAGATAATTAGACTATGTCTAATAGTCCAATTAATAAGTTAAATTAAACCAATTACATTTGCAGTAACATTCAAAACTTATAAAATTCATTATCCAAATTTTGATTTATATCAAAAAAAATATATTTTTTTTTTTAAACCTTAAGCAGTTATGCTAGTATTTTATTAAGATTCTTGAAACTATATATTTTTATAATTATATAGAATTTTCTAATACCTAAGTCTAGCATCACTTGGCCATCCAAATGGTATCTAAGTGCAACCTGCTGCACTATCTCAGTTAGAGATAGACTGCTCGTCTAACTACTTAAAACCATACTAGAAGGGTCTTTCCCCTTCTGTGACAAGCATATCAATTGTTTTCCAAGCTTCTTTTTTCACTTGATTCAATTTTTCTGCTTTCTTTTCCTTTTCTTCTTCTTTTGCTAACTTGTTTTTCTTCATTCTTTTTTTCTGATTTTCTTCTTATTCAAGCACCTTTCTTCATTTTGCTTGTTATATTGGTCTTTTTTTTCTATTCCTACACTTTTTCACATCAGACTCTTCATAATTGATCATAAAATGTATTTTACACTGTTCTTGTTACTATATCTATGCATTTTTGTGTTATTTGTCTGCTTAGAATCTGTTCAAGTCTTTTCCAACCTTAGTTGTGACTAGTTCTTTTATCATTAAATTTTTGTTCATAATTTTCTCTACTTCTGTTTTCCCAAATATTGCTTCATATAGGACTAGCAATAGGATTCTATCTTTTTCATTTTCTTTAAGGCTATTTCATATTATTGCTGTTATTACTTTTTGAATTCTCTTCTACAAGCTTTTTTGTTCATTGCAGTTTGCTAAATATGCTTGAGTTTTTTTTCACCTTTTTGACAAACTTGGCAATCTGTTACTGTATAAATCTCTAGTCTTCTTTTATTTAACTCTTCTAGTGTTGGTAAACTGTCCA